GGAAACTAGAAACTGCAACTGGCACAGGGAGCAGGACACATCCAGCACGCAGCCTGGTGGCCCCGCAAGGGGGGCGGCGGTTTTCTACATGTTCTAAATATTGTACCCCCCTGAGTACCCCCCCGCCCGGAGTCACGCTACATCCGTGAACGAAAGACGGCCCCCTTCAAGACCAATGTCAATGATTTGGGCCCATTGGGCCGCCTGGGGGCCAAAGAAGGCCTGGAGACGTTTCAAGTTGGCTTCAAGATGACCCAAGCTGGCCCCAAGACGGCCCAAAGGCGGCCAAAAATGGCCCCAAGTCGGCCCAAGACGGCCCTAATAAGATTTTAAGAGGGCTCGGTCGACCCCTAGAACAGTTTTTTAGGTTGGACTGAGCCCTGGCAGGGTTCCATTTGACTTGGACCGAGCCCGAGTAGGATTTGTCCAGATCTGGATTCAGCCCTATACGAATTCTGTTGGAGTGAGACCCAGTTTGAGCGGGATTCTATTAGAGCTGGATTGACCCCAAATGGAACTCTTTGAGAGCTGAATGGAACATCGTAGGATTCCATGTGAGATGGATCGAGCTTTCGTTGGATTTCATTGGAGTGAGCGCTCCGGGGGCCCCTGGGGCCGCGCCCAGGAGCTCCGGCATCTCAGGCCAGGACCTGCCGGGACCTTGCTGGGACCTTGCCGTGGGTATGTCTTCGTCCGGGGACCCCCAGGGGCCGCCATGCGCGCGCCAACTCAACATTCTCAAAATCTTACTGGGGATTTTCGCACGCCTTTGGCCCTATGGGCCGGCGAACTTACTCAGGAAGCTGTCCCCTAATCGGGATCGTTCTGGGCTCACTGAGGGGACGGAGGTGCAAGGTATGTGGGAAGACCCGACATGGCTCGGACGTGTGAGTTTTTTTCGGCGAGGACCATCGATGAGCATCCTGGATCATCTTGCGGAGAATCAGCCCACGAAACCGAAAAATGTTCGGGGAGTGGACGTCCGAGCGATGGCAAGGAGAGGACTGGGGGATTCGAGAGGGGGGAGGAGGGAGGCGACAGTGGGGATGAGCGAGAGCGCCTGAGGGGAGGAAAGAGGCGGGAGGAACGGGAGGGGACTGGGGCTTCTCCTCCCCTCCATCCTCATATCTCTTGCGTCCTCCGTAATGATCTCCAGGCCGCACGAAGGAGGCCGGAGCGGAGGGGGTTTGGAGTTAGAAAACCCAGGGTTCGCTAGGGACTGGCCTCGTTCCAAAACAACGAAAACCATTCCCAAACCCTCCCGAAACCCTCCGAAAGCCCTTCCCGGAACCCCTCCCGGAGGGTTGTCGGACGGTTTCGGCTGTTCCGAAAGGAAACCAGTCCCTAGCGAACCCTGGACTCTCTGAGATTAAAGCCCGCATCGCCGATGCATCTGCGATGCGGCGCGATCTGTTGCCCGATCTTCTCCATTCCCCCGACGTCGCCGATGCGTCGCCGGAACATCGGCGAGGGCGGTGCTGTTCTTCCAGCCCCATCCACTCCAGCCCCACCTGGGCGACCTCAGCTCTCCTCCCTCCTCCTGCGTGCTGTGCGGCTTGCAGGCAGAAGCTTCTGCTTAGTGTGTCGCTCCGCCAGTTCTGGCGCACCACGCTTCGGCGCGACACGCTAACAACTTTTCAACTCGAGACCATTTTGTGATCCACCCAAGGAATAACGCATATCCCCCCCTGCCCCCCCCGTAGCGGTAACGCCCCAGCCCTGTCCAGTGCGCGATTCCGGGCATCCTAGGGCACTTGGTGCACGCGGGCACGATGGTGCCGCGGTGCACGCGGGCGCGCACTATGGTGTACGCAGGCACTGCTGTGTACACCGGCGTTGCGGCGCACACATCTGTCGTTGCAGCAGCAGCTGTGGTGTACGCATGCATAGTGGGTGTACGCAAGCATTGTGATGTACACATCACAAGCCTTGTGGTCTACACAGGCGCCGTGATGTACACAATCGCTGTAGTGCGCAAAGTCGACATGATGTTAACGTGCATTGTGGGCTTTGATGTACCCGCGCATCTCTTCCTACTTATTCCTCCTCCTCCCACTTCATGTTCGTCCTTCTCATCGTCGTCCTCCTGGCGTATACAGGACGCGGGCATTGTGGTGTATACACGCATTGTCGTGCACACAGGCCTTGTGGTGCACACAGGCGTTGTGTTTCACAGTCGCTGTGGGCTCAAAATGTCCGAGCGTTCCTCGGGCCAGAAATACGAATCATCACAATCGTATCAGATATTGAAAATGAGACATTCGGGCCCCCAACGATTTCCCAGACTTTGGCTCCGTCGGGGTCGTAGAGGTGTAAACACGCTTTGTGGTGATCGCAGGCGCTGTTGTGCACACGGGGGTGTGCTAAAACAGCAGCTCTGGCGTCAATAATCACAAGCGTTGCGGTGTGCAGACGTTGCCATGACGTGCGCAGTCGCTATGGCGTACACAGGTGTTGTGGGCTCAAAATATCCGAGCGTTCCTTGAACCAGCAAAACAAATAACCACAATCAACTCACATATTGAATTCTAGCCGCGTCGCGTAACCCCACCAGCCCATCCAGAAACGATGCCCCGAGGAATTGCCTCGGTCAGGGAAGTGGGCAGCACACAGAGGAAGGGTCCCCAAGTGGAAGCCTCTTGGAGCGTTTTGGGGTCCTCTTGGCGGTCCCGGACGCCTCTTAGAGCGTCTTGGGTGCCTCGATGGCTTCTTGAGGCCTCTTGGGGGTCTGTTGGGAGCCTCTTGGAGGCCCCTTCGGCGCCATTTGGGGCCTCCTGGGGCCTCCTGGGCGATCTTGGATTGATTTCCCCAAGGTTTTGGAATGATTTTGGCCTCCTCGGGGCCTCCTGGGGGAGCTCTTTGGCCACTTGGAGCCGTCTTGGAGCGGTCTTGGGGCCTCTTGGAGCCTCGTGAGAGCCATCTTGAGGCATCTTGGGATATCTTGAGCCACCTTGGAGGTCATCTTGGGCTCTCCCAGGCGCTCTCTGAGTCATCTTAACCAGTGCCCCCCCACCCAGGAGGCCAACATGTTGCCAAAACCTACGTAAACTCAATGGTTTTAGCATTCTCGCCGAGGCCTCTTGGAGCGTCGTGGGTGCCTCTGGGGGGCCTCGTGGGGCCTCTTGGGGTCTCTTAGGAGTTTCTTGGGGGCATCCTGGGGGCCTCTTGGGGGCCTCTTGGGGGCTTCCTGGCAACCTCTTGGGGCCCTCTTGGGGCACCCTTGGGAGCCTTGGGAGCGCTCTTGGGGCCATCTAGGAGGAAGATCGATCAAAGAAGGGGGGGTCCCTAATTAGGGTCGCCCTCCCAAAAGACCAAAATGGGGCCAAAACCCTAGTAAAATCAATGATTTGGGCTTCCTCGCCGAGGCCGTTTCGGACGCTCCGACGACTCGCGGAACCCCCTGTCCAGGTCCATGGGGAGGGGGTAGGGGGATGGGTAAACCCCTCCCCGCAGGGGAAGAAGGAGGGGTGGAAGAGGAAACTCCCTAAACCACCGACGCCCAGAGGGCTGGTGGGATTCGATACGTTCGGCCCCCCAGCGATTGTCTGGAGTTTGGCTCCGGCAACTTCAGGTGTACACAAGTTTTGTGTTGCACGCAGGCGCTGTGGTGCACAGCGGGTGCTGAAACGGCAGCTGTGGTGCACACAGGTGCCGTGGTGTGCAAACACAGTGTGATGTACAAAGGCGCTGTGGTGCACGCCGCTGTTATGGTGCATACAATCGCCGTGGTGCACACACACACATACCATTTCGTCAGCAGTTCTGGTGCACAGAGGCATTGTGATGTACAGAGCCCGCGTCTGTGTGCACAGGCACTGCGGGCTTGGACGACGAGGACGACGACGACGACGACGACGACGACGACGACGACGACGACGACGACGACGGCGACGACGACGTAGGTTGCGCGTGTCGGGGGGTGCGCGCCGCGGCCCCCGTTACAGTTACCCCCCCCCCCAGCCCCCACCCCCAGGGTAACTTGCGGTACCCCCCAGGAATAGATACAAGACATAAAAAAAGACCCTCTTCCAAAGCATCAGCGTCCTGAGCCTGTTCCAGCCTCCCGCCCTGCGAAGTGGAGCGACAGGCGGTCCACTTGCAGGGCATGGCGGGTCACAGGGGGCGCAGCCGCGACACGCTAAGCGTAAGTTCCCGACAGTAGCTGGCAGCATCTTAGCGTCTGCGCGGCAAACGGGGGGCATACAAAAGAGTCCGATTGAGGCGACGTCGACGTAGTACAAATCGCAAGCTGGCATGGTGAGAAGCAAGAGGGGCTAACAGCAAGAGAGAGCGAGAGGGAGATAATATGAGTCACCGAGGACCAGAGTTACCAGGCAGGCAACTGTGGAGGTGGTAACTAAAGGAAGCTCCAGTCTGGTAAAGGGGAGGGGCGTCCCCTCGAGAAGGGGCGTGGGGACAGCTCACCCAGCGACGAAAGACTTGGATTCTTTCCCCCCTGAAGGATAGCGAGTCGGTCGTCGTCGTTGGTCGTCGGTCGGTCGGTCTGTCGTCGTCGTTACAGCCCTGCATTATGCACACACACAAACGCACACGCACACGCACGGTCAAGCATTTACTCCTCGGCATTCGCCGTCGTCTCTGTCACAGCGTTGCGTTGCCCTTTCCTGCCGATTTTTCATCCCTCGTTCCTTTCTATCGTCACAGCGTTGCGTTACGTTACATTATCACCCCCACCCCCACTCCACCTCTCAGTGCATCTGACGATCTTGGGCCACCCAAGAATGTGTCATTCCTCGCACGGAAGAAGATTTATAAGTCTACAACTTGCATTCGGCGTCCTTCTGTGTGTTCCTCCCCTTCTCCTCCTCCTCCTCCTCCTCCTCCTCCTCCTCATCATCATCATCATCATCATCATCATCATCCTCATCCTCATCCTCATCTCCATCCCCATCCCCATCCCCATCCCCATCCCCATCCTCCTCCTCCACCCCTCCTCTGCCCCCGCCCTCGCGGTTCCTCCCGATGGGAGGGGCAGCAAGGTTGGCCCGCGCCGCACCCACCGTGGCAGCCCGAGCAACCGCTCACACAGCCCCGGCCAGGGTATGGCGAACAGGCGCGCTGGGCAGACTGGCAAGGATGGAGCAGGGGGAGGAGACTGGCAGGATGGAGCAGGACGAGGAGGTAGACACTGGGAGGAGGAGGGGGAGGAGGAAGAGGAGGAAGAGGGTGGTTGGGACGAGGATGGGAAGAAGGAGGAGGAGGAGGAGGAGGAGGACGAGGAGAGGTGAAGAACAGAGCGCCAGTGTGTCACTCGCCGCTGGAATGGAGGGGGGAGGTGGGGCAATTTGACCTCATCCTGTTCCCTTTCAGGAGTTCAATTGTCCCAAACATCATGTGGTGTTGGGCCCTCGTTTTGAAGAGACAAGCGCCCCGCGTCTCCCTGTTTCGCTCCCTCCAGCTACCCTTCCCCTCCCGTCCCTGCTTCTGCCGTCCGCGTGCCAATTTCGGCACACTTCTCGCACGCTTCGCGACCCCATCGGGAGCTACACCGAGGGCCCCAGTGGATGCGCCCTTGCGGCCACGCTCTTGTGTGGCACATTTCGCACACGTTGCTTGGCCCGTTGGGAGCTACACCGAAGGCTCCTGTGGCAGCGCCCGCATGGCGGCCCAGCTCCATTGTGGCACACCCCTCCCGCGCTTCCTGGTGTCGTAGGGAGTTCCACCGAAGGCCTCCGTGGCAGCGCCAGCATGGAGGCTCTTTCCCAGTTAGGCACATCCGTCGCATTCTTCGTGGCCCCATATGGAGCTTCCCCGAAGGCCTTCATGGCAACGCCCGCATGGTGACCATGCAGCATTTTGGCACAGCCATCGCACATTTCGTGGCCCCAGCGGGACCTCCCCCGAAGGCCCCGGTGGCAACCCCCGCATTGCGGCCCCGCCATCGTTTGGCACAGCCGGTGGCAGCGCCCGCATGGCGGCCCCGCCCCATTTTCGCGCCCACACACACACACACACACACCCACCCACCCACCCACCCACCCACACACACACACACACACACACACACACACACACACACACACCTCACACGTTTCGTGGCCCCGAGGAGGAGCCCCACCGCAGTCCACGTTCCGTGGCCCCGCATGGAGCTCCACCGAAGGCCTCGAGGGCAGCGCCCGCACGGCGGCCCCGCCCCATTGTGGCACACCCTATCCCGCGCTCCGTGGCCCCATCGGACAGGGCGCCTTCTGTGGACGCTGGGAGCGGGGGGGGGGTCGAACTGGGGGGGGAAGGCCCCCGCATGCGGTAGTAATTCCAACCGACCAGGACGAGTTCCAACTGGCTGGCACATGTTCGAAACTGGCTGGCGAAGACAAGCTGGTGCTAATTCGAATCGGCCAAATAATAACGTCACCGTATGATTTGAATCGTGAGGCGTTGTCCGGATATCCCAAACAAGTCACCTGTTTATTTACGCACTACGCACATGTATTCCAGAAGCTGACATGATTACACGGGCGGGAATGTGTACCAGGTTAGTCCAGGTATGTGTTTGTAGGGACGTCAGGGCTTAAGGGCTTAAGGACTGAAGGGCTAGAGGGTTGCATGGTTTAAGCGATTGAAGGTTTAAGAGATGAAGAACTCCAGGACTTCAGGGCTTGAGGGTTCATTACGCAAGTGTTTGAACTCTTTCTGGCATAAGGGCAGGGCTTGAGGTTTTCAAAGGGTAAAGGCTCACGGTTTTGAAGAAGTCAAAGGCTTTGAGGGCGCAACGGTTTGAAAGTGTACGAGTTGAAGGTTTACGAGTTGCAGTTTTTAGCGCTTGCGGATTCATCGTCACCACCATCAGCACCACCACCATCAGCACCACCACCACCACAACCACCATCATCATCATCATCATCATCATCATCATCATCATCATCATCATCATCATCAGCAGCAGCAGCAGCATCAACATCATCACCATCACCATCACCATCACCATCACCATCAGCACCACCGTCATCAGCATCATCATCGTCGCCATGTATCATCACCAGTGTCATCATCATCCCACTCATCCGTCGCAGCCACGCCGTCCTCTAAGACGCCTGCACGACGCCTCTAAGACGCCTGTCCCAAGCCTCTGAGACGCCCGTGCGACGCCTCGAAGACGCCTCTGGGACGCCCGTACGACGCACAAAGACGCCCGCACGACGACTCGAATACGCCCATACGGCGGGCGCCTCGCACGACGCCTTTGAGACGCTCGTGCGGCGCCGCTTAGACGCCTCCAGAACGCCCATACGATGTTTCTAAGACGCCCGTACCACGCTTCGAAAACGCCCGTACAACTACTCGAAGGCGCCTGTACGACGCCCCTAAGGCGCCCGTGCGACGCCTGTAGGACGCTCGTACGGCGCCCCTAAGACGCCCACGCGACGCCTCGAAGACGCCCGTACGACGCCTCTGAGACGCCCGCACGACGCCTTTCAGACGCTTGTACGGCGCCGCTAAGACGCTTCTGGGGCGCCCGTACGGCGCCTCCAAGACGGCCCTACGACGCCCCGAATGCGCCTGTACGGCGCTTCTAAGGCGCCCGTGCGACGCTCTAAGGCGCCCGTGCGACGCCTGCAAGACGCCCGTACGACGCTCCAAGGCGCCCGTACGGCGCCCCTAAGACGCCCGCACGACGCCCCGAAGACGCCCGTACGACGCCTCTAACTAAGATACTTGCGGGGCTTCACATACAGGTTGTGTGGCATTTTTCCTCGACTGGTTGGAATTAGTAGCAACGGGGTTGCAATGTGTATTAATGTGTCTGGGATTGGTTCTAGTTGTTTTTAATGTGTCCCATTTCCGGCGGCCCCCCCCTCAATTGAAAGGGGCGCGTGATACGACCGCCCCCCCTCAACGGGGGGGGTTCGAACCGGGGCGCCGTCGGGCAGCGACTACGACACCGATGGCGACGACGACGACGACGACGACAATCGAGCCTACTAGTAGGATGCGATTACAGCTGGATCGAGCCCTAGTGGGGTTCTAGTGGAGCTAGATCGAACCCTATCAGGATTCAATTGCGGCTGGACCCAGCCCAAGTAGAATGCGATCAAAGATGGATGGATTCAAATGAGTTGGATCGAGCTGTATTCGGACGCCAAAATAGTTGGACCAAGCTTCGTATGATTATACTAGAATTGGGTCGAGCCCTGGTGGGCTTCAAGTAGAGCTGGATCCAGCCGTAGTGGGATCCTATTAGAGCTGGACTGAGCTCTAGAAGTATGCCATCACGAGCCTTGGTAGGAGGCATTTCCGGCTGGATCCAGCAATCTTAGGATGCGATTAGGGCTTGATCGAGCCCCGCTCGGACTCTATTAGAGGGAAGGGGGGGGGCGACCGCCCCCCCCTGGAAAAGGTCCCCCTCCCCGGGTCGGGCCGCTCCCCCCTCGAGGGGGAAGGCCCCCCCGCCACCCTTGGTCAGAGAGGCCAGCTAGTGCTCGAGGGGGGGTGGGGGGCGCCCGCTTCTCTGGGCGCGCCCGATCTGGGCGGGGGAAGGGGGGGGGGCAACGGTCCCAACGTGTGCCAGGCTTGTCCAGGCAGGCGCCCACGAAGCGCGCTCCCTCCCCCACAGGATGTTCCAACGAAGGCCCCGGTGGCAGCGCCCTCATGGCGGGCCCGCCCCTGTTTGGTGCACCCCTCACGTGCTGCGTGGCCCCGTCGGGTGCTCCACGAAGGCCTCAGTGGCAGCGCCCGCATGCCGGCCCCGCCACATTTTCTCACACCCCTCACCTTCTTCGTGGCCCCACGGGGAGCTTCCCCGAAGACCCCATTGGCAGCGCCCACATGGCGGCCCCGCTCCATTTTGGCACACCACTCAAATGCTTCGTGGCCCCACAATGGAGCTGCACCGAAGGCCCCAGCGGCAGCGCCCGCATGGCGGTCCCGCCCCCATCCTCGCACACACCTCACACGCATCGTGGCCCCATAGGGAGCTATCCCTCCTCCATCCCGCCTGCCTTGCGATACCCAGGCGTGCATATGATTGGGTCCCTCCCGAGGACAATGACCCCCCCTTCCCCCGCCCCGTTTCAAGGGGGGGAGGGTTGGACCCCCTTTTCGCCCCTTCTTTTGCGCTGGAGAGGGGGGTGCTCGACCGCCCCGTTTCCCCGTCATTCGCGACAAGTCGGGCGAGACGGGGCGCGCTCTCCAGCGCACTGGACGGGGTGTCAGGGGCAGGGTGGCAGGGCCAGGGTTAGGGTGTTAGGGATACTATGTTCAATGGAAAAAAATCTTAGGGAGGCTTGTCCAAGGGGGTTGTCCAGACGGGGTGTCCGGGGCTTGTCCGGGCTTGTCCGGGCTTGTCCGGGGCTTGTCCGGGGGGTTGTCCGGGGATTATTTTTGATAGGTTGTTTTTTTCCATTGTGCATAGTAGGGTGTTCGGGGCAGGACTGCTCGGATCGGGCGGCTCGTTGTCAGGGCGCTGAGGGTCAAGGCTAGGGGTGGGGCGCTTGCGATTAGGGTGTCTGGGTCAGGGTTAGAGTGTCAGGGTCTCAGCTTTAGGCTCATGGTGCTAGCGTATTGGGTCTGCGGTGGTACTGTTAGGCGGGTCGGGCTAGGGTGTTTAGGTTTAGAGTGTCAGGGTGTATGGGTTCGAGTTAGGGCGTTTGAGTCTTAGGGTCAGGGTGGTTCGGGTTTGGGTCACGGGGGGAGGGTTCTGATGTTAGGGGTAGGGTGTTGGGAATGGGGGTAGGGTGGTGTGGCTAGGGTATTCTGGGCAGGGTTTTGTGGGTATGCTGCTTGGTTGTTAGGGTTCGGGTGTCAGGGTTAAGATTCGGAGGCTAGTGCGGTACGTTCGGGGTCGAGGTGTTAGGGTTACGGTGCGTGTATGTGCTGGGGCGCTGAGGATGGAGGTTAGCGTGTCAGGATCAGGGGGTCAGGGTGAGGGTGCTTGGGGTCAGAGTTACGTCCCTGGAGCTTGAGCACGGGGAAAACTGCTCCAGGAAACTCTGGGAGGAAGGGGAGGAGGACCAGGAGGTGGAGGACGGAGGATCGAGGAGCTCAACGCTGCCCAGGTGCCCTCCCCGCACGCGGTGGCTGCGCACCAGGGCCTGGGACATTGGGGCGATTCGCGGCCGAACGCCCCCCGTGAGGACGGACCGCCCTCGCAGAAGCAGCTCGCCCTCGCGGAGGAGCTCGCGTGGCAGGCAGGCAGGGCGGTGCCGGAGGACGCGCGCAGGAGCCAGCAGGAGTGCGCGCGAGTCATCGACCAGCTGAAGGGGATGCAGCCGCCCTCGCAGAAGCGGCTCGCCTTCGCGGAGGAGCTCGCGCGGCAGGCTGGCAGGGCGATGCCGGAGGACGCGCGCAGGAGCCGGCAGGAGTGCGATCGAGTCATCGACCAGCTGAAGGGGATGAAGCCGCCCTCGCAGAATCAGCTCGCCTTCGCGGAGGAGCTCGCGCGGCAGGCAGGCAGGGCGGTGCCGGAGGACGCGCGCAGGAGCCAGCAGGAGTGCGCGCGAGTCATCGACCAGCTGGAGGGAATGGTGCCGCCCTCGCAGAATCAGCTCGCCTTCGCGGAGGAGCTCGCGCGGCAGGCAGGCAGGGCGATGCCGGAGGACGCGTTCCGGAGCAAGCAGGAGTGCAGAAAATTCATCACTGAGTTGGAGGCTGCTCGGATGTCTCGCCAGTACGCGGTGGCGCCCGACTCAGGCATGGGGCGGTGGGACCATGCGCGTCCGAGCGCCCCAGGTGGCGGGCAGTTCGGGAGCGAGCCGTGGGCAACAAGCGTGATGCGGTCCGGCGACGGTCCGCCCTCGCAGAAGCAGCTCGCCCTCGCGGAGGAGCTCGCGTGGCAGGCAGGCAGGGCGGTGCCGGAGGACGCGCGCAGGAGCCAGCAGGAGTGCGCGCGAGTCATCGACCAGCTGAAGGGGATGCAGCCGCCCTCGCAGAAGCAGCTCGCCTTCGCGGAGGAGCTCGCGCGGCAGGCAGGCAGGGCGGTGCCGGAGGACGCGCGCAGGAGCCGGCAGGAGTGCGCGCGAGTCATCGACCAGCTGGAGGGAATGGTGCCGCCCTCGCAGAATCAGCTCGCCTTCGCGGAGGAGCTCGCGCGGCAGGCAGGCAGGGCGATGCCGGAGGACGCGTTCCGGAGCAAGCAGGAGTGCAGCAAATTCATCACTGAGTTGGAGGCTGCTCGGATGTCTCGCCAGTACGCGGTGGCGCCCGACTCAGGCATGGGGCGGTGGGACCATGCGCGTCCGAGCGCCCCAGGTGGCGGGCAGTTCGGGAGCGAGCCGTGGGCAACAAGCGTGATGCGGTCCGGCGACGGTCCGCCCTCGCAGAAGCAGCTCGCCCTCGCGGAGGAGCTCGCGTGGCAGGCAGGCAGGGCGGTGCCGGAGGACGCGCGCAGGAGCCAGCAGGAGTGCGCGCGAGTCATCGACCAGCTGAAGGGGATGCAGCCGCCCTCGCAGAAGCAGCTCGCCTTCGCGGAGGAGCTCGCGCGGCAGGCAGGCAGGGCGGTGCCGGAGGACGCGCGCAGGAGCCGGCAGGAGTGCGCGCGAGTCATCGACCAGCTGGAGGGAATGGTGCCGCCCTCGCAGAATCAGCTCGCCTTCGCGGAGGAGCTCGCGCGGCAGGCAGGCAGGGCGATGCCGGAGGACGCGTTCCGGAGCAAGCAGGAGTGCAGCAAATTCATCACTGAGTTGGAGGCTGCTCGGATGTCTCGCCAGTACGCGGTGGCGCCCGACTCAGGCATGGGGCGGTGGGACCATGCGCGTCCGAGCGCCCCAGGTGGCGGGCAGTTCGGGAGCGAGCCGTGGGCAACAAGCGTGATGCGGTCCGGCGACGGTCCGCCCTCGCAGAAGCAGCTCGCCCTCGCGGAGGAGCTCGCGTGGCAGGCAGGCAGGGCGGTGCCGGAGGACGCGCGCAGGAGCCAGCAGGAGTGCGCGCGAGTCATCGACCAGCTGAAGGGGATGCAGCCGCCCTCGCAGAAGCAGCTCGCCTTCGCGGAGGAGCTCGCGCGGCAGGCAGGCAGGGCGGTGCCGGAGGACGCGCGCAGGAGCCGGCAGGAGTGCAGCAAGTTCATCAGTGAGTTGGAGGCGGCTCGGATGTCTCTCCAGTACGCGGTGCCGCCCGACTCAGGCATGGGGCGGTGGGACCATGCGCGTCCGAGCGCCCCAGGTGGCGGACGGGGAGGAGCAGAGGGAGGGGGAAGTCCCTTTCATCCTTCTTCTCCCCTGCCTGTTGCACCTGCTTCCGCTCCCTCGCTGCCCCTTTGCCCCCCCGACCGCTCCTCTTACTCCTTCGTCGCCTTGTCGCCCCTTCTCTCACGAGCCCTCCTCGTTTTCGCGAAACTCCGTCGTCGAGCCTCCCTCGTTGATGGACCCTTCTCGCTCACGAACATAATTCGGTGGCCCTCGTTCTCGGGCGCACCTGCGTCACGGGCTGCCCCAATGCCCGAAGTTCCTCCGTGGTTCCAGAACCTCCCGGGGCGCAATTCGCTCGTGGCGTGGACCCCCTGGGAACTCGACCCGCATCCCGAACCGCAGTTCCATCTTTGGCCCTCCCCCTTCTTGCGGTGGTACAGGCCCGGATTCGCTCGTGGCGTGGACCCCCTGGGAACTCGACCCGCATCCCGAACCGCAGTTCCAGCTTTGGCCCTCCCCCTTCTTGCGGTGGTACAGGCCCGGAACAGGCCTCCAGGCATTGAGAGCCTGGAAGGCGGGGCGCCACGACTCGGCCAAGATGCCAGGAGACTGGGTCGGCCCAGGCAACCTGGCTCGAGATCGGCTCCCGTACCCCTCCCGGCGACGGTCCAGACTGTTGTTCGAGCTGCGCTCAAACGTGGCAACCATGCGCCCCAAGCCCTCAAGGAGGCTTGCAAAATACACTGATCCCGGCGAGGGACCCAACCGCATTCAGCTGCGAGTACCGCGCGCAGGTGAGGGCCCTCGGGCGCTGGGGCCTTCGGTGGAGCTCCCTATGGAGCCGCGAAGCGCGCGAGGGGTGTGCCGAAACGGGTGCGGTTGCGTCGCGCGGGCGCTGCCGTTGGGGCCCTTCGGTGAAGCCCCCTAATGGGCCACGAAACGGATGAGGGGTGCGCCGTGCGGACGCTGCCGTTGGGCCTTCGGTGGGGTTGAACGTGAGGCCACGAAGCGTGCGAGGGGTGTGCCGCATCGGGTGCGGGTGCGCCATGCGGGCGCTGCCGCTGGGGGCTTCGGTGGAGCTTCCTGGGGCCACGAAGCGCGTACCGAAACAGGCGGACGCTGCCGCTGGGGCCGACGGTGGGGCCCTGCACGGTGCCACAAAACGTGTGACGGGCGTGCCGAAACAAGGGCATGCGGAGTGCAGACGCAGGGATGGGAGGAAGAAGGAGGGGGAGGAAAGCGACAGGAGATGAGATGCGGGACGTTGTGGAGCAGGTGAGAGTGAGGTGGGTGTCAGGCATGAGGATTGGGGCGTGGATAGGGAGAAAAGTGGACATGGGGGAGCGGGGAGTCTTCCCAGTTTGGCGCGAGTCCAGTTCGCGGCCGCGTTGTGCCCAGATCTTTCCGAGTTCGTTCGCCCCTCCTGTGGTTTCCGTTGTGCGTTGCATTTCTGCCCGCCTGGCCCGCGTTGCCCCGAGCCCTGGGCGCGACCGTTTTGTATCCAGTTCCTTCCCTCGTTCGTTTGCCCTCTTTGTCTTTGCGCCCTGGTGGCAGCGGCTCTCGGATGTGTATAGCGCGGGGTCCCCGAAACGCGCGCCTGCCGCACTGAAGGAGTCCCAGCGACGCGCGTGGATCGTGGATGGGTGTGCCGAATCGGGCGCGGGTACGCCATGCGGACGCTGCCGCTGGGGGCCTTCGGTGGAGCTCCGTATGAGGCCACGAAATGTGTGAGAGGTGTGCCGTATTGTGCGCGGGTGCGCCATGCGGACGTTGCCGCTGGGGCCTTCGGTGGAGCTCCTTCTTGGGGCCACAGGGCGTGTGAGGGGTGTACCGACAGCGAGTGCGGTGCGCCATGCGGACGCTGTCGGGGGGGGCCTTCGGTGGATGTCCCTATAGGGCCACGAAGCGTGTGATGGGTGTGCCAAATCGAGTGCGGGTGCGCCATGCGGCATGCGGACGTTGCCGTTGGGGTCTTCGGTGGAGCTCCATCTGGGACCGCGAAGCGTGTGAGGTGTGTGCCGAATCGGGTGCGGGTACGCCATGCGGACGCTGCCGCTGGGGCCTTCGGTGGAGCTCCCTCTGGGACCGCGAAGCGTGTGAGGTGTGTGCCGAATCGGGTGCGGGCACGCCATGCGGATGCTGCCGCTGAGGCCTTCGGTGGAGTTTTTCTTTGGAGCCACGAAATGCGTGAGGGGTGAGCCGAATCGGGTGCGGGTACGCCATGCGGACGCTGCTGCTGGGGCTTTCGGTGGAGCTCCCCTTGGGACCGCGAAGCGCGTGAGGGGTGTGCCACACCGGCTGCGGGTACGCCATGCGGCCATGCGGAAGCTGCCGCTGGGGCCTTCGGCGGACACCTTCATGTGGCCAAGAATCGTGTGAGGGGTGTGGCGAACGGGGAATTGGGCTCGGGTGCGCCATGTGGTCGCTGCTTCTCTGGGGCCTCTGTTGGAGCTCGATGTGGAGCCACGGAACGTGTGAGGGGTGTGCCGAAGCGGGCGCGGGTACGCCATGCGGACGTTGCCGCTGGGGGCCTTCGGTGGAGCTCCTTCTTGGGGCCACGAGACGTGTGAGGGGCATACCGAAGGGGTTGGTCGACGCGCGGAGGGCGGAGGCAGGGATGGGAGGAGGGAGGGGGGGCGGAGGAGGAGGAGAGGAGGAGGAAGGGCGCTGGGCGCTGTCTGTTCCAGACGAGGACCCAGCACAGGACGGTTGGGAGCAAGTATGTCGTCGTGATCCCCCTCCGTCCGCTTTCCTGCGCCCCCCCGTGTTCTCCTCAGAATCGGCCCCTGATTCGAGTTCGAGAAGTCTTGTCCTCCTCGAGTCGGGTCCTGCTGATCGGAAGGGAATCCGTTTCGGAAACGAATTCGGACCGGCAGCAGGTTCCGACAAGGATCCTGCTCCTGGGCCCACGACAGCTGATCAGCTGCTTCCTGCGTCGGACACGAATCGGGAATACAGGGGACACACGAGCCGTTCACTTCTCAGAATCCTCAGAGCCGACCTGTCTTGGAGCACATCCTGACCAGGACCAGGATCCCGAGCCGGCTCCAGCCGTGGCGACGGGGAGGCGCAGCAGGTGGACAGAAACATGTGACACCTCATCCCTCCGAGGTGTCGGTCCGGGGGGCGCCCTCGAGAGGAGAGCTCCAGAGATCCCCAGAGGACCTTCGGAGGCCCCCAGAGGCGCCCCCAAAAAAGCCAGGGCTATCCCAAACTTTCGACGACCCCTGGGAGATGCAGTCCTCGAGCCTCGGACCACCCTGGCGCCACCAGGAGAGCAGACGCCCTCGCAGATAGAGGTGGAGTTCGCGGAGTGGCTCGCCCGGGATAATGGCTTCTTGCAGTTGCCAGACGAAGTGCGCTACAGCAAGCGTTTGTACGAGGCGAGGAGGGCGTAAGTTGTCGTCGCAGCAAGCCGCTGCCGCCGTCGTAGGATGGAGGAGGAAAACGATGAAGGCGGAGGATGAAGAGGATGGTAAGGCTGAGGAGGAGCTGCAGGAGGAACATCAGGGAGCAGGATAGGGAGGAGGAGGGAGCACGAGGAAGAGGATGAGAAGAGGAGAAGGTGAAGAAAGAGGATAATGAGAAGAAGTAGCAGGAGAAGACGGAGCAAGACGGACTCTGAGGAAGAATACGGGGAGGGGAAAGAGGAGAGGGAGGAGCGGCAAAAGCGAGCGGATAGAGAAGGATGAGTGCAGGCATGGGGCGAGTAGGAGGAGACTCCGGGGAGCGAGGAGGAGGAGGTCGGATGAGGAGCAGGAGCGGGGAGAGGAGGCAGCCGCCGGGGCGGAGGCGCGGGGGAGAAGGCCATGGAGCACTGGGAGGGGAGGGCGCGAGGACGAGCCTGGGAGGACGAGGGTGCGACAGGAGGAGGCAGGACGAGGACGAGCGAGGACTTCATGCACGAGCTCGTGCGCACAGCCAGGCTCTCCGAGGCGCCGGGCGCCGGACACTCGCCCTTGGAGCCTCGGGCCGAGGGCGCCCCGCCGGCGCCGCGCGCACAGGAGCGCCGCGCCAGCGGGGGGGGGGGCGCGGGGGGGGGGGCCGGATCCAAAACGGTCGGGGCCCAGTTGGCTACGGACCCTACTCCTCCTCCTACTCCTCCTCCTGCTCCTGCTCCTCCAACTCCTGCTCCTCCTCCTCCTCCTCGTCCTCCTCCTCCTCTTCTTCCCCCTCCTCCTCCTCCTGCTGCTGCTGCTCCTCCTCATCGGCGGCCCGGGGTTGGCGCGCCGGCCCAGGTCGATCAGGAGCAACGCAACGCGGGGCTGCAGTCGGGGCGACCAAGAGGGGGGTGATGGGGGTGGATACGACGGCGTGGGCCATGATTCAAGAGGGAAAAAAACACAGACACAATTAATCGTCGATCCCACAGAAAATATTGGAACATATCGGAAGGAGGGAAGACAGAAATCCCAAAAATATTGAAAAATACGGGGAATCCTTTTATTTGTGTGTATTTGTTTGTGTGTCCTGGGGCCCCTTCAATGATATCTTCCCAGATTTCGTGGCGCCTCCTGAAATTTGAATACGTCCCCGGCCCCCCCCCCCCCTGGGCTGCGCACTTGCCGCCGGCCATGTTTTGCCCCCCCCCTTTCTTGGACGCCCCCCTCTTGGCTGCCCCTGGGATCAGGAGCAACGCAACGGTGGGATCCAGTCGAGGTTGATTAATTGGTCGGCCCTGCCAAATCAAGTGTAAATTTGTGTCGCGGCTCCCCCATACCTTCTGCATTCCTGTGGCAGCCGCCCCCCGCCGTGCTTCCGTTTTCAGCACAAAGCCCAGTACTCAACAGCATCCGTCTCCAACACAGCAACCACTACTTGACAGCCTCCGTCTCCACGAATACACTCAGTGTTCAAAAGCATGCCGATGCAAGAGAAAAGCCTCCGGAGTTCTCTTCAAATCCGGACCCGCCTGCCCGCCGCCCGCCCGCCGCCCACCGCCTGCCCGCCGTGCTTCCGCGTTCAACGTAACACTCGAAATTGAACAGCATCCGTCTCCAACACAATTTTTGGTACTCAACACTCCGTCTTTCAACAGCATCCCTTTGAAATAGAGAGGCATCCTGAGTAGTTCCATGGAAATCCCAATCCGCCCGCCCCCCACCGCCCGCCCACCGCCGGTCGCCCGCCGTGCATCCGTGTTCAACACAACGCCCAGTACTCACCGACCTCCGTCTCCAACACAACACCCAGTTTTTCCAGCCTCCGTCTCCAACGCAACACCCAGTATTCAGAAGCACCCCATTGCAAGAAGGAATAGTTGGAAGTTGCGTGAGAATCCCGATCCGCCCAGTCGCCGCCGGCCCGCCCCCCACCGCGTCCGCCAGCAACAGCATCCGTCTCAACACAAAACACCTGGTACTCAACAGCCTCCGTCTCCAACAGCATTTACCAAGTATTCAACATCATCCCGCTGCAAGAGAGAAGCCGTTGGAGTCTCACTTATACCCCGATCCGCCCGCCCGCCGCCCGCCGTCCGTCCGCCCGTCGCTGGCCCGCCTTCCGCCACCTGTTGCCCGCCCGCCGTGCTTCCGTTTTCAGCACAACACCCAGTATTCACCACCCTCCGTCTCAAAAACCACACCCAATACAGCCTCCGTCCCCAAAGCAAGACTCAGTACTCAACAGCATCCCGCTGCAAGAGAGAATCACCAGGAGTTCCATCACAATCCCGATCCCCGCCGCCGGCCCGCCGCCCGCCGCTGGCCCCCCGCCAGCCGCGCTTCCGCGTTCCAGACAACACCCAGTACTAACCAGATTTCCGTCTCCAACACAACACCGAGTACTCAGCAGCCCCCGTCTCCAACATATCATCCAGTACTCACCAGCATCGCGCTGCAAGAGAGAGCCCCGAGGAGTTCGACTGGAGTCCCAATCCGCCCGCCCGCCGCTGGGCCGCAGGCCGGCCGGCCGCCCGCCCGCTCGCCGTGCTACTGGTTTCCTACCCAGCCCAGTGTTCAATGTCCAAAACAACACCCAGTGCTCACCAGCCTCCGTCTCCAACACAACACGCAGTGTTCAACATCATCCCGCTGCAAGCGAGAAGCCCTTAGGGTCTTGAGGGGACCCGCCCCCCGAACCCACCAAAGCACCATCCTTGAGGGGGGGGCCCTGGATGGAAAACTAACCAACCCCACCTGACCCCCCCAAACTTTACCCTTGAGGGGGGGGTCCTGGGGTGGACCCCCCCTCCCCGGAACATTTCAAAAAATCCTTTTTGAGGGAAGGTTTCTGGGGGGGACCCACCAACCCCCCTGACTTTCCAAAAACCGCCCCTGAGGGAGGGCTTCCAGAGAGGAAACCCACCAACCCCCCATAGAGCCCCACATCCGTCGAGGGCGGGGTCCTGGAAGGAAAAACCAATCACCACACCGAAACTTCCCCACACCACCACTAACCCCTTTAAAACTCCCCTCAAGAGGAGGGTCCGGGGGGAAACCTACTAACGCCCCCCTAACCCATTTCAAAAAAAAAAAAGCCTTGAGGAAGGGGGTCTTAGGGGGGAACCCTTCCCAAAAACCTTCCTTGCCCAGGGACCCCCCCCCCTTTTAACCTCTTGAGGGGGGGGTCCAGGGGGGGAACCCACCACCCCCCCCTGAACTCTTGAAAGCCTTCTTTGACGAGGGGGTTTTCCAGGAGGGGAATTGGGAGCAAAATCTGTTCTGAAGAGCCGTTCTAGGGGATTTGCATGAGGTTGTTTTGATAAAGGTCTTGTTTCCTATTTTAACGCCCGGGAAGCCACCCAAAACCTCTTCAAACCTCGAGGCCCCCCATGGATCCAGGACCTTCCCCTCCAAAAAAGCCCTTGAGGGGGGTTATTGTTTTTTCCAGGGGGGGAGCAAGGGAACTCCCACTCTGTTCTCGTCTGTCTGTTTCTCTGTTTGTCTGTCTGTATAGCTGTCTGTCTGTCTGTCTGTCTATGTGCTGTATGTGTTGTGTGTTGTGTGTATTGTGTGTTGTTGGGTTGTGTTGTGATGTGGCGTGCGTCTGCGGGTGCGTGTGCGTTTGCGTGTGCGTGAGCGTGTGCGTGTTCGTGTTTGTGTGCGTGTGCGTGTATGTGTATGTGTGCGCGTGTGTGTGGATATGTCAATGTGTCCGTGTGCGTGTGTGGGTGGGTGTGCTTGTGCGTCTGCGTGTGCGTTTGCGTGTGCGTGTACGTGTGCGTGTACGTGTGCGTGTACGTGTGCGTGTACGTGTGCGTGTGTGTGCGTTCGTGCGTGCGAGCGTGCGTGCGGGCGGGCGTGCGTGCGTGCGTGTGTATGTGTGTGTGCGTGTGGGTGTGTGTATCTGTCTGCCCTCTGCGCGTTTCTGTGTGTATGTGTGTTTGTGTATATTCGTGGTGTGTGCGGGTCTGTTCTGTATTCGCGTTTGTGTCTGTGTTTGTGTCTGTGTCTGTGTCTGTGTCTGTGTCTGTGTCTGCAGCTGTGGCTGTGGTTGCGTCTGTGTCTTTGGTTGCGTCTGTATGTCTGTGTGTGTCTGTGTCGACCATCGTTGCACCACCATCGTCGTATCGAAGCGCTGCGGCGGACCAGCACGCGTTGGCGCCGGCACAGGATGGCTGCACGCGCCACGGAGGAAGCGGGTCCTGAGGGACATCGGTCTTGAGCGAGGTTCCTCTCAGTTTTCGGGCCCTCTGGGCCCTCCACGGGCCCCGGGACTGGCAGAAAACGGCCTGGGGTGTTGGGGGAAGGCCCCCTGGTCCAGCACTCGTTTCCCTCAGGACCAGCTCCCTTCATGCTGCTACACTTTTTGGATTCGCGGGCCGAGGGCGCACCTCTTCCGGGTCGAAGCGAAGCGGGCCGCGCAGAGCTTGAGTTACGCAGAGAGGGGGGAGGAGAAGGGGGGCGCAGCCGTTTCATGCTGCTACACGCAAGAGTGCTTGGCATCGTTCGGAGGTGTGCATTTTTCCTTAGGCGAGGACCATCGAGGAGCATCCTTCATCATTTGGCGAAAAAAAACCACGCACGAAACCGAAAAACACACAGGGAATGGACGTCCGAGCGATGGCGAGGAGTGGCCCTGCGCTGGAGTGCCCTTTTGGGTGCAGGCGCGGCGAGGCCCCCCGATGTGGCCGAACGCAGTCGAGAGCAGCGGCTTGCGCGCCCGGGTTTGGCCCCCCCCGCGCCCGCCGTCGAGGCACCGCGCGCCTTCGTCGACCGACGAGCTGCGCACGAGAGGCCGCTCAGCTGACCCTGGGCTTTGCTCCTGCGCGTGCCGTCGAGGCCCCTGCCGCGTCCGCGCGCCTTCGTCGGTGCTCGGGCGTGCTCCTCGCCGGCCTTCCATGGAGGTCTCTCTCCTGCCTCCGGCTGCCCTCCAGCAGCTGCGGGTGTCGCCTGGGGGCGCGTCTGGGGACGGCCCGGATCGCCCCGCGGAGGGCCGCCGG